ATTGGTGAATTTTTGTACTAGGAAGATGAGCCCGATTAGTTCCAGTATGCATGGCAAGTGAGAAATCTATCTGTAGTTAGATTGTTATTTCGTTTGCTTAATATATATATCACAGGGCACAAGTCGGGATTATTTTTGTTGGATGCTAACCACTTATCAGCGCATTTCATCAGTTCGGACTTCCATTGTCTAATATAATATAAATTGATTTGATAACCCTGAAAAAACAAAAAATCAAAATGATCAACCGAAAATAACAATTTTGTTAAACAAAAAACTGAAATTACAAAGAAAATTATACAACAACAACCAAACAAATAAAAATTGAAATATTATTAAATTAATAATATTTCAATTTTTATTTGTTTGGTTGTTGTTGTATAATTTTCTTTGTAATTTCAGTTTTTTGTTTAACAAAATTGTTATTTTCGGTTGATCATTTTGATTTTTTGTTTTTTCAGGGTTATCAAATCAATTTATATTATATTAGACAATGGAAGTCCGAACTGATGAAATGCGCTGATAAGTGGTTAGCATCCAACAAAAATAATCCCGACTTGTGCCCTGTGATATATATATTAAGCAAACGAAATAACAATCTAACTACAGATAGATTTCTCACTTGCCATGCATACTGGAACTAATCGGGCTCATCTTCCTAGTACAAAAATTCACCAATTGGTAGAAATGAACTCTCAAAATGGACGAAAGAAACTGCCGAATAATGTTTTGAATACGACGTAAAATAAAATACCTAACCACCCCATTGGATCTACCTACCTACTGCTGTAATTTGATGAAAAATAAAATACAAGAGCCGCAACAAAATAAAATCACCGGTCACGAAAGTAGTCGTTTAATGAAACTCCTACAAATGGACGCTGAACATCATCTAGATATCAATTAATTATAGTCTATGATTGTCTGAAAATCATATAGAACAACCCAACACCTCCATAATAAATTCAGAACCGACATTGAATATTAATGAAATCATCGTTCACAAAGTGGGCAATAAAGAAAATCGCACCAATTATCTACAAGAATTGNTACACCACGAAACATTGTCAACCACCTTCAAACTTATCAGCGCATTTGTGCTCCTCTAGTGTTGTTTTAGTGAATACAGGATTATATTCCAATCTGCTGTTCACGTTATTTGCATTAAATCATTTATTAAATTACAGAAAAATGCAAATGAAATCATTGTTTTGTATTCTCATAGAAAAAATTCTTACGGCGGGATTCGAACTCGTATATAGACACCTTGACAATAAAATTCACATCTTACAGCTCTAACCGCTACGCCATACAGCAATAAATAACAAATTTTAGAAAAACCAACTGAAACCGTCTTTTGAAAATTGTTTCGTCTACTTTCTTGTATGCCACAATTTCAGCCAGAACCAAAAAATTTCAGTTTTTGCCTTTGCTAGTGATTTGCTGAATATCTTGTTAATAAGATACATTTGACGTTTTCGAAAGGAATTGCTGTTCACATTCTCTTCATATTTACATTTGAGTTCTCAGATAAAACTAAACTCATATGCGAAGTTATTCTGTGACAGTTTTTGATTTACAAAAATATCATAATCCATGGCAATAGAATATGTACCTACTCAAAGTATAATTACGGTATCTTTAAATTTTTATGGCGATGTTTCAAAATTCTTATGTTTTCAATGAATATGAGAAATTATTTTAGGATCAGAAATGTAATATGTGATCTCGAAAAACGTCCAAGTTTAATGAGAAGTTTGACAAGTGTTAAAACATGCTGGACATTATCTTTGATCTTTACCGACCTCGGACGCAAACAGAACAACTTGTTGAAAAACATAAAAAAAATTCTGAAACATTTTGCAATGTTCTACAATACGCAATACTACTACAATACGCTGTTCCACAACTTGCAGCAAAGTCAAATGCGGCTTGATAAATAACTCAAAATACTCACTATTCTAGATTCTATTTTAGTGTTCAGAGATCGATGTACAAACTGTTTACTCTACCGTGCAATAGATGGCGTATCACTGTAGACTACAATATGTCACTAGTTTGATCTAGAGATAGATGTTAAGTAGTCAGAAAAGACGTCCGGAAGGCATACTTACCTGGCGTAGGGGTCAACCGTGATCAACAAGGCGGTTCCCCCAGGACGAGGCCCTTCCATTGCACTTCGGTTGGGCTGACACCTGCGATTATCCCTAATGCGGATAACTCGGGCGCGTAATTTTTGGTAGTCGGGACTGCGTACGCGCTGTCCCGGTGTTAATTAATCGAAACATAATATTTATGTAAATTTGATAACAACATATATACTATGTAGGCTTGTAGGTGTATTTCCTAATTGACACAAGTCGAGCGCCGTCTAGTCATTAAACGGTATACATATCTTTAGTGATCGTACAGATACGACCCCTAGGCACTACATTACAAATATGAAGCAGGGCTGGACTCCGATAATTTAATGCGAATTGTAATAGAGTGAAAAATATGGAAATCCACACATAAAATAGTATATTGTGTAACAAGTGCGTGAAATCGACTTTTTTACGCAAGCGTGGAATTTGCGACACGAGCCCTCAGGCGAGTGTAAAAAAGTCTTCACGCACATGTTGCACACTATACTTTTTCTACGACCATACAGAGAAAATTAAGCACCATTAGTTTAAAGAGCTTTATTGAATTTCAGAATAATTAGTAAGTACCTATATTATAAAAATTTCAAAGTATAATAAATTCTTACCCTTGTGTGTGAAAAAGTAAATCCTAAGGACAATTAATCCTAAGGACAATTATCACAACGGTGAGAAAGTTGATTTTTGAAAACATTGTTTTGAGCTGGTTGCCTATGCAATTATATGGCACATAAATTATAGAAATGATAAGGAAATTCTGTCTCTAGACGAATGATACTATGTAAAAATGAATCTGGAGAGGCATATATCATTTTCCAAACTGTTTGGCTTCTGTATGACTATTGAAATGACTACATTTGTTTCATTCAGCATGATACTAGCCGCCGTGGCAAAATTTGTACATACTTTACATGAATGTTTTTCTTAACATTTTCCCAAAAGATATTCACAAACATATCCCAAGCTGTTGTTTTCGGGAATGGCTAGAGTTCTATAATCATTTGTCTCTACTCTCAAACGTTTGTAATTTTTTGGAACTTCCACAAGAATATTCACTCTATTTATGTCAGCATCTGTAATATTATATATAATCTCACTAGTATCTTCTAGACCAGGGGTCTCCAAACTACGGCCCGCGGGCCAAATTCGGCCCGCCACTGTCATCAATCCGGCCCGCGACAGCCAATGATTAACTGTCATCAATTTGGCCCGCGACAGCCAATGATTACCTAATTGTTGTTACTATTGCTGTGATAACTTGAAGAAGAAAACAGAATGATAATTACTCGGTTTTATTCACTAGCAAGGTAAAACTTAATGACAGAAATGATGACAAAGAAAACTTAACAAGTATTTAGTTTAAGCATATTAATAACTAACAAATAATTGAAATGAATCACAGTAAAACAAAAACACTAATGAGATTTATGTAATTGTGATTTTCCACCGACAATACTTTGTAGTTGTGGATCAATTTTACTTGTACCAATTATCAAAAGAGATTTAAGATGCTCATCGGTTAATTGAGATCTGTAAACATTCTT